GGGTTTTCTAGTCTAGCTGCTCCCCTGACCCGACTCATAAGAAGAATGTCAAGTTTGAATGGAATGAGGACTATGAAAGAAGTTTTTCAGAACTAAAGAAGTGGTTGACTACTGCACCTGTGCTGGCCTTATCAAGTGGATCGGGAGGATATACAATTTACAGTGATGTCTCATATTTAGCCCTAGGTTGTGTTTTAATGCAGTATGGGAAGGTTATAGCCTATAGGTCCAGACAGTTGAAAAGTCATAAGAAAAACTACCCCACCAATGACTTAGAGTTTACCGCAATAATACACGCCTTGAAGACTTGGTACCATTATTTATATGGAGAGACCTTTCAGATCTATACCGATCACAAGAATTTGAAACACATAGTCATTCAAAAGGATCTCAATATGCATCAGAGAATGTGGATATAATTTCTTAAGAACTATGATTGTAACATCTTATATCATCCAGGTAAGGGCAACGTGGTAGCCGATGCACTCAATAGAAAAAGTACAAGTACATTAACCCATTTGGTGGTTTTAAAATGCAGACAGATTGGGGTCACACAACAGGTTCGGCTTCAGGACTTGAGGAGAGTCACATGTTTGGGTCATCTGACCGTTCACTCTTAGTTAATCCAGAGAATAAGGGAAGCTCAATCCGCCGATTCCACCCTAGTAGCTCTTAAGAAAGATGTAGAACAAGGAGTTAGCTCAGAATTCTGAGCCTTCACCGATGGGTTGCTCAAATTCCAAGATAGGGTGTGTGTTCCAGGTGACACTAAGTTAAAGAGAGACATCATGACAGAGGCCCAAAGCTCAAAGTTTTTCATGCATTCCGAAAGCACTAAAATGTACAAAAGTATGCGACCCCAATTTTGGTAGAACGAGATGAAAAGAGATATAGCTGACTTTGTTTCTAAGTGTTTTGTATGTCAGCAGGTCAAGGCAGAGCATTAGCGTTCAGGCGAGCTACTTCAGCCATTACCGATCCCATAATGGAAGTGGAAATATATCATCATGGACTTCGTGACAGAATTACCTAAGGCACACTCAGGACATGATGTCATCTGGGTAATTGTTGACTGGCTTACCAAGTTTTTTCACTTCTTGGCCATCAGGATGACCGATCCTTTGGACAAGTTACAATAATGTATATCCGAAAAATAGTCAGATTGCATGGAGTGCCAGTGACAGTAATGTCCGACAGGGACCCCAGGTTCACTTCTCGATTTTGGAATAGCTTTCAGTAAACCATGGGAATGAAGCTGTCTCTCAGTACTGCATTCAACCCTTAGACCGAAGGACAGTCAGAAAGGACAATCCGTACACTTAAGGATATACTCCGACCTTATGTTCTTGACTCTGGGAGCTATTGGGATGACCATCTACCCCTGATAGAGTTCGCCTACAATAACAACTACCAAGCGAGTATTGGCATGGCTCCGTATGAGGCGTTATATGGGCACCCATGCAGATCACCGATTTGTTAGGAAGAAGTGGGTGATAGAAAACTGTTCGGCCCAGATCTGGTAGAGGAGACTACATCCAAAATAGTTAAGATCAGGAAAAACATTCAGACGGCTAAGAGCAGGTAGAAGAGTTATGCGGACACCCGAAAGAGAGATTTAGAATTTGAGAAAGGTGATCAGATGTTCTTTAAAGTCACTCATTTCAAAGAAATCAGTAGGTTCGGCAGGAGGGAGAAACTGAACCTCCGATTTATTATACCATTTGAAGTCTTAGATAGGATTGGTACCGTGCCTACAGACTAGCACTGCCTCTGGAACCTTCCAAGGTCCACAATGTATTTCATGTGTCCATGCTACGCAAGTACAACCCCGGACTCCTCTTATGTCTTGGCCCACAAGTCTCTTCTACTTCAGGAGGATCTATCCTACGAGGAAGTACCAGTCGGCATTGTGGATCAAAAGAGCAGATTACTCTGCAACCGAAAAATTTCCTTTGTAAAGATCATATGGTAGAACCACACACCGAGAGAGACTACATGGGAGCTAGAATCAGACTTTAGAACCCAGTATCCCCAGCTGTTTGATTGAGAGTGAGAGACAAATTTGAGGGACCAAATTTCTTTTAAGGACGGAAGAGTTGTAACACCCACATAAATTTATTATTATTATTATTATTATTAAATGTAACTTTTTAATTATTTAATTTATTTTATTCTATTTTGTTTTATTTTAATTTAATGAAAAAATTGAGTAAATTGATAAAGAATTAACTTGAAAATAATTTTAAAAAAAAATGTGAAAATTTGGACTCTGAGGATATTTTTGAAAGAAAAATTAGAAACCGGAGGTCAAAACGCAATTTAAAAAAAATTACACCACGTCAGACGCCCAGTCAGTAGCCCCAACCAACTAGGACGCGCCAAGTGGCAAAGGCGCTGACGCAGAAGGCCACGCGGGGGGAGCCACGTGGGCAATCCACGTGCGCACAATTAAACGGCTGAGGTCCATTCCCGCGCGCACGGATGGCCCAGAGTGAATCGCACATGGACGATCCAGATTGGATCGCGATGAACGGTCCAGATTCACTCCCTATTTAATCGCAATCGGACGGTTCAGATCAAAAGTGATGGACAGCCCAGATCAAAAGCAGATGGGTATAAATAACTCCATCCGCACCGAAACCCTAACCCTAGCCGCCAGAACCCATCGCCAGAGAAGACAACGCAACCGGTGAGGAGCCGACCGCCGCTACCCGCCGCCACACCAAAACTTTTTCCGACCACCAGTAAAGGTAAAAAATTTTCTTTTTGCACAAAATTCAATTTTAAACCCACCCATGGCCAAATCGGAGTGAAAGAATTGGCCAATTAGCCAGAAAACACTGTTGAATTCTAGCGACGCCGCCGCGGGGAATTTTACAAATCACCTGCGATGAGGCCCTTCCTGATTCCCGTTTCATGTAATTTTTCCACCATTGTGATTTTCCTCTCTATAGGTAGACCAAAGCAAAACACCCAACCGCAACGTGAGCTTGAGGAGCCGCCGCACCAGAGAGCCCCGACACCGGTGAGTTTCGATTTTTTGTATTTTCTGGGCTCACCGAGGCCCTTAAGTGTGTGTGCTCATAGGAATCGATGTAAAATCGACCAAATTCGACAAAAAACGACCGAACCGAGGCGGACCGCCATCGCTGGAGCACGACAGAGCCGTCGTGCAGAATTTTTTAAATTGGCCGAGTAGGCCCTGGGACTAATTTTTGGGTTTATTTGGGACATTTGTAGGTACCATAAGCGCGTTTCAGTTCCTGAAAAAAATTCAGAGAACCCAGGGACCGCCCATGGCGCAGTAAATCATTTAACTTTTCGGCATCAAATCAAGTAAGGACCCCTCACCCTATTTTCTATCATAAATTTGAAGTTTAAATAAAGAATAATACGATATTATGTACAAATTAAATAGATGTGCATAATTAATTACGGATCGCTAATAGAGCCCGAACCGGACATTGTTCTCTGTTATTTTTTTTACGGTCTAAAAGCATAATTGTATCTGATTTATCTATTTTATGGTTTAAATGCACGTATTACTGTCCTACTTGATCACTATTTGATTTTGAGATTTGAGACATGATTGCATTACCGGATGCATGTTTATTTGTTTATGTGATTATATTTGATTTGATAATGAAGACTAAGGAAAAATAGGAAATGGGTGTGATCAAATAAATAGATAGAATGACAGTTGTACTAAATATCTTGGAAGATGGTGGACAGACCGGGTACATAAGAAACCCTACCGTGAATATTGTCTCATACCGGACGAGGTATGGAGACTTGGTAATTTGGCACTCATACCGAACAGAGTATGGGGACGGCCCGCTTCACCCTCATACCGGACGAAGTATTGAGGTTTAATGTATTGGTGCTCATAACCGATGGGGAATGGGGACAACCCTGTAATTGAGGTTGTTAAGGAAAATGGTTCACGTGTAGCGAGGACACCCCTATAGATACTAGTAGGCTAGTGAAACAAGAAACAATTATAATTTGGTTTATTGTTAATGAATATGAATTTATGATATGTTTTATGTTGTTGATTGTGCATGAAGTTATGATTTGTATGGTATTATTGTCTCTATAGGTTATTTTCATAAATTCCACAATGGTAAGTGAATTGTAAATGATTTTATGATTTATAAACGAATTTGTTAAATTTAGTACTTCATTAGTTGTTTTGATTTTCTACCAACATTTGTTTCTATACCGGTGATATAGTGTGATATCTTTACTGGATTAGTATAGCTCATCCTTTATTTAACCATTTCAAGTCAAGAGGACTTGGTTCCAGAGTCCAATCCGCAAGAAGATTGCGAGTAGATGCTAAATACTTTATATTTTTCATTACTTTTCTTATTTTTCGTGTTTCTTTCAGAGAATTCATTTTGTAATGTTTGTTTAGTACTTTTAAGTTATTGTGTAAGGGATGTAAACTTTAACTTTTTATTTCGTTTCCGCACTTAAATTATTATATATTCCATTTTGGATTTCTGGGATCGTTACATCAAAAGTACAGTTAGGTGGTTACCATAGTTAAATGAATTAATTGTAGTTAAATTCTAATTATATGATTAGTTGTAGTTAACCCAAAATTAGAGAATTAATTATAACTAGTAAGCTAATTACTCTTGTGTATATATAAATACCAAAACTTAATCAATGAAAGCACATACTTCCATTTTGTTTTTCCCTCTTTTTACTCTATGGTTTCATAGCTCAAATCTATTCATCAAATTTCTTGTGATTTCATAATAAATTCATGTTCAGTTTTTCTTTATTTTTGCTTTCATGGATAACACTAGAACAAAACCCGATTAAATTATTTTTGTTTATCTTTTCTATATATATTGCACTAATTAATAGGCTATTTCTTAATATAATTGTTTTTTGTTTAATTATAGTTTTTAATTCTAATAAAAAAAGTGTTGCGTCATATTTTTTTGTTTTTAATAATTAAATTCATTGTAAATAATTTTCACATTTAATAAAAAATAATTTAAGTTCTTTCATAATTTTATTAAAATAATTTAAGTTCGTTACACAAAACACAAAACAGAATTGTAGAGCAGCAATTAAGATTAATAACTCGTAAACTTATTAATCAAGTAATTAAGATTAATTAATCCTATAATTTTATTAATTAATTTATTGCTGCTTCTCAGTTTCCCGCTTTACCAATCCTAAGATAAATCGGGAATCTAACCAGCTTCTTCTCCCTCCCCCAGCCGCGCTTAAACTCCTCAATCAAATCATCCGTCAAAAGCTCCACTCCCATCTCCTTAGCCGTCTGATACGCCGACCACGACCTCAGATACGTGAAAATTTCATCCAAGCCCATTAATCTCTCCGCCATGAACTCAAACGGCCCCGTTTTGTCTTCCCCGTCAACCGGCTCAAACGGGAAATCGATGTTCATGTACTTGTCGTCCACCATTTTTCGCGGAGGTTCCCAGTACTTCCCCGCATCGACGGCGTAGAACCGTCGCAGAATAGGATCTACGACGTCGTTTACTTCCGGCAAGGTGTAGCACCAGGCGGCAATGACTCCATCGGGTTTTTTCAAGACAAATTTCACTTGGCTGTAAAATGTGGGGAGGTCGAACCAGTGCATTGCTTGGGCTACGGTCACGGTATCAACGCTCGACTCGGCTGCAACTTTTTGTTGGAGCTCCGCCATGGACATGACAGGAGGGGTTTGTTGGTATTTGATGTTAGGTAGCTTTGGAGCCACTTCTAGCTGCTTTGGACTCGTGTCTGTGGCGATCACGTTCTTGTAGATTTCAGCCAACTGAAAAACCGAAATATAGATCGATTATCAGTACATACTTATATATATATATATATATCATATATGACATATATATGCATCTATAGCAGAATATAACGGGTTAAGAAGAGGGAAGGAAGGAGGAGACCGATCGGGCAGCTTGGCCGTTGCCGGTACCGGCGTCCCAAGCGAGGTCGTGTGAAGGTGATTTGGAGGCGATGAATTGGAAGAGTTGAGGAGGGTAAGTTGGCCGACCTTCTGCATATTGTTCTGCCTGCTTAATGAACAATTCCGCCATTTCCTTTTTCTGTAGATTCTGCGTATAATTCCAATTATCGTCTTGTTCCGAGATCTGTCCACAATCCGCTAATTCTCATTTATACTCGGTCATTTGTCAAGAAATAAGATAAATTGGTGGGATTTTTCCTTTAAAAGGAATCAGTCGCCGCATTTGACTAAATAAACTTCTTCCACTATCGGTTTATAATATCTAGTTGTTAGACCACTGCGTATAATTCCCGGATGGATGTCATTGGATTGTAGTGTCACTGAAATTCTTTCCTTCGAACAAAAGACCGGCTGTAATATTTTCTTCATTGAAAAAACATCATTCTTTTTTTTAAGAAAAACAATGAATTATCTGTATCTGACAAGTGGTCCAACCACAAGAAAATTCAGAGTGCTCGTGAATGTTCAAACTTGGAAAGCATTTCAAAACGGAGAAATTCGATTTGAATTTCGATTGCCCAGCTAAGAAATAATTATCTTGTTTATTAAATTATTATTTTTTATTTATTTATCGAACTTTTTAATGATAAAAATAAATAAATAAATAAATAAATGCAGAAGCTTTATTTCTAGTCATCTGATTAATGCTTTAGACATAATTAAAACCAACCAATTTACTTATATTTTCTCATACTCATTTTTCATAACTCAAATATTTGTAAAATCTTGCAAGATAGAAATGTAAATTTTAAAAACAAGTCTTATTTTCTGCAAACTCTGAAAATTTCTTATATTACCTTCTATTTCACTAATTTATTTAATTTGAACTCTGTAAAAATTACACGATCGTTGCAGAATTATTTTTTCAGTAGTCAAATTTCATAAAGTTTCTAATTTTTTGGCATACTACATAATTTTGTCAATAATAACATTAACATGTCAGCTAAATATATATATATATATATATTTGGCAAAGTATAGGTCAAGTTTGCAGAACCAGAAATGTTGGTTTTTCAGAACTTCATCGTTCCACAGAAAGATTAATGAATTCTGGAGTCTGCAAGAGATGGAAAAGTAAAAAATTTGAAATTTCTCTTCTTTCTTGCTGGTTTGGAAAAGTCAAAAAAGGAAAGATAATTATATAACTTGCCAAGAAGAAACAACTTTGTTTCTAGGGTAGCATGTTTACCATCTGAAAACTTTATGTTTCAATATCTAACGGCGGAGAATGGTTCTAAATCTTTTTTCTTCTTCTTTTTTTTTTTTTTTTTTTCTGGTGATCTAACGGTTAATATTTAGAAGTAGAATTATACCAACGTAAGAGACTAGTATTTTTCATGTAATAGTCGGCATAATGTAAATTCTCTCTGTTTCCTTCCTATCAAGAAAAAGAAGAGATTCTCATATGAAATATTTTAAAAAAGACTAACCTAACCTGAGCTGATCCAATCAGCAAATTCTCTTTTACCTTGCTAAGTACTCCACCCTCCTTCATGTTCCTCAGTTTGTTTTACTCGAAAACTCAAAATCAGGTTGCTAAATCAGTATCCACATGCTTCTGCTCCCTCTGGATAGAGAAAGAATAAAGTCTGTCAGCTTGTAAAAAAACTACTTTGAATTTCCATTTTTTTTTAATTCATATATGTTTTATACATCCAACATGTATAAAATGCTGAAAACTAAAACATGATTTCAAATATGATGAGGCTGAAAATATTTTCAGTTTGAAAACAATTGTTTTTCATTCTTTTCAGATAGTGTTATATTTTTCGAATGTTTTTATTTTCAACAACTATTCATATTTTCGCTTACAGATATATATATATATATATATATATATATTTGAAAATAAATACCCAGAACAGTTTTCTACAAAAATAAGAAAAAGCCTAAACTTCTTAAGGTGTAAAGGGATAAGAGAAAAGCAAAAGATTTCGTTTCTGAGTGTTTAAAGAAGCAAGTTTAACTAGTTTAATCAGAAATATGTGGATATTACTACTTACTGTGTCATAAACTATTACCGATATATATCTGCTACCATCCACACTTGCTGCCGAAATTAAAGTCATAAAGACAACTCCTCCAATCATAAATCCTCCTGCACATCTGGTTCCAAACTTGATATTAAGATAAAGTGTAAAGATTCTTAATTATATATACATATATATATATTTACATATAGGTTCCATCAACATACCAAACATTATCAAAAAAACAGCTCGCAATTCCCATCATAGGCGCATGCTCAAGACCCAGAAAAATACTAGCTGACCATTAGTGTCTCAGCATTAGTTCCAGGAAAGGATCAGCAAGCAAGCTTGGTGGAGATGGGAGGGGATGCTGATCAAGCAGGCAGAGGAGAGGAGACCGAGAAGATAACTGTTGTAATCGACAGCAAGAGCCCATCAGTTCCAACCAGCTGCTGTGATGAGAAGTTCAAATTGTTAAAGGATGCCTTCAATGAGCATTCAGATGTAACTCATGCTCCAAAAATACGGAGAGTTCCACACATGATCAAAGATCGGGAGCAGCTCAGATACCTGGAACAGCACCTCAAGTTTCCAAGTAATTATGAGCCACGGGTGATTGCAGTTGGTCCTCTCCACCATTTTAATCCCAACCTTAAACCTGCAGAGAAGCTGAAGTATAAACTGGCAAAGAACTTCATGGATGAAAATGGCGAGAAGGAAATACAAGAAGGCTACCTAAAAATCAAAAACCAGATCAATGATTTGACAAAGTACTATGAGAATGATGATGAGGCAATAAAATTGGTTAGTGATAAGGAGGAGGATCTTGCATGGTTATTTTTCGTAGATGGGTGTGCCATGTTGCATTACATGAAGTGTTTTACTGATCAAGAAAAGTATCAGGAGCACATGAAAACCTTCAACATAAATAATCATACTCTTGCTTTCATCCATCGGGATTTGCTCCTGCTGGAGAACCAACTTCCTTACGAAGTCCTTGAGCTCTTGATAAATTCCAGCAAAAATGCCAGTGCACTGCGTGAAGGAATAAAAGAATTCATTGATCAAAACATGATGACTCCAATTGCCCCAGAACTGAATACCCCGCAGCAAGAAGGCAACATTAATCAAAACATGAAGACTCCAGTAGCTCCAGAACAGACAAACCAGCAGCAAGAAGATAAACCACATCATCTTCTTGATCTTTTGAGGAAGAGACTTCTGGCTCCAAAACGCCAACAGAAGGCTTCAGGTTTCTGCAAGAGGCTGATGGATAAGTATAAAATAAACCAGAAGAAAACCAAGACACCCTCTTTTCGTAATGTCAAGGAACTTCAAGCAGCAGGGATCAAGTTGAGGCCTCTGGGCACGCAAGAAAGCCGCTTGACAGATGCTTCTTTCTCCAGAATGTTCTGCATTGGCAAACTAGAGCTGCATCCCTTTGCAATTGATGACTCAACCGCACCCAAGCTTTTAAACTTGGTAGCCTATGAAATGTGTCCTGACTTCAAAAATGAGCTTGAAATCACCTCTTATGTCTGCTTCCTTGATTCACTCATTGATGAACCAGGAGACGTCAAGGAGTTACGAGATGCTGGGATACTAAAAAATGCGATGGGAAGTGATGAAGAAGTAGCTAGACTCTTCAACGAGATCAGCACTGACTTGGTGCCTAATCCTCAGGTGTATACAGATGTTGAACAGCACATTCAGGATCACTGTGACAACAAATTGGTAATATGGATAGCTCAGTTCTTGTACGAGCATTTCAGCACACCTTGGACTTTCCTTGCTTTTCTAGGTGCCATCATTGCACTTGCTTTGACTTTTGTTCAGACTTGGTATGCCATCCCATGAACGATGAGGCTTGAATAAACTTTTACACCATTACCAAAAATGCTACAGCTACCAACAAAGAAAGGAGCACAAACACTAAAAGAGGAGCCAAGAATTTCTTTTCCTTTCCTGCTATGAGTGCTTTCTGGATTTTGTTCTGCTACATCTCATATCTTTCTTTCCCAACATTATGTAAACAGTTTGTTATTTTTTGGATGCAAAAATAACTTGGCGAGTCAGGGTTTTTACCTTTATTAGCCTTCCTTCATTGTGTTTGAAATAGATACGAGTGTGTATCACTATATGTCAGAATTATCTGTGTGATAATTCAAACTCTAACCAATTATGATAATTTGAATTGAGCAATAAAGGATCTCTTTTCTTTTAAACAAGGATTAGAATCTAAGAGTAACATGAAAAGCAAACTCAGCAAGTTATTTACAGCTTGTATGAACTAGTATACACCTACAGAGATTACAGTCCCTAAATCTAAATTAGCAAACTAGTATGTCAACAATTAATCCCTTTTAAAGAAAGCAGTGCATCAGTAATCATATCACAGTGATTAAACCCCACGTAAACAATCAAGGATCGCCAATAAAACGGGATAACAAAATCAAAGGTAACATATAATTTGCTATAAACAATAAGGGGAATATTTTGAAGAAAAATATGAATCGACATATTAAACTTATAAGTTACAACAATTGGACATCAAAGATCAGCTTAGTCTCTATCCTGTATTAAGTTGTTGATCATTTTAACCAGAGGAAGTGTTCCTT